CCCGCCGCCAAGAAACTACATTTCCCAGCGGGCGACGCATCGGCAGTTAGGGTCAAAAACGGTGGGAGAAGCTGGGAGTGAGACGCTGCGCTGCAAGGTCTTCTGGGATTTGTAGTTTTCTCCAGGAGCATGGCGGCAATTAGCAACGTCGTGGTAGTGAGTGATGCACCTTGGGAGTTGTAGTTCACCACGTGACATTGAGAGCCTTGAAAACTGGTTTCCAGAAACGGAGTTTTGCTGTCAAAGCTACCTCTAGGGGGCGTCCCTCACAGTCAGGTTGCTTTAGTAGTTCTTCATACAAAATGACCTCCGCCATCCGGTCAGCCGCTCTAGGTATTGAAAACCTTGCAATTTAAGCCCCACCCACTGTCCCAACCCCAACCTTCGCAGACTAAAGGAGAATTAGCATCACAATCGTCTTCCTCTTTATCAGCCCTTCTGATCATTTAAATTTTTCAGTTTAATCTTCATTACAACCCTAAAAAACACATTATTCTTTTTTTTCTAAGATTTATGTATTTATGCCTACAAAAGCTGGGGGGGAGGGGCGCAGTGAGAGGACTCACCAAAGACAGAGTGGGGGCCAAAGAAGCAGATACCTGCTCATACACTGCTGAGGGGAGCAGGAGCAGTGGGTGAGACAGGAGAGGTCTGCTGTGCCATATGGTTGCTGATAGCTTCACAGTGGGAGACTTACCCTCTTGCACCACCAGGGAGGCCCCAAACCACATTATTCTTACCTCCATTTTACAGACAGGAAAACAAAGATGAGGCTTGTTAGTCTGTTTGTGATTTGGAAGGCCCTGTTCTAGACAGATAATTAACAAGGTGACACTCAGAGTCAATTACCGTCTGCCTGCCCAATCCACAGTCAGTCCACACTTACATGTTGGTGGTAGATATTTTCCTCTGTCATTATGTTACAGGACTGAGAAGGGCGCACCCCAAAACCCCCAAACCTGCCTGCTCTAAATAGGTTCTGCTGCAACAGAACAAAACATACTCTAGAGCGTATGACCTTCAGTGGAAAGGAACATTAATACAATTAGTGCAATAGAGAAAAGGGGAAGAAGGGGGGAAATATAGTTTCCAAATCAAGCACCCAAAGTTAATTATCCTCTCATTGGTAAATGCTCAAACAGGATTGGTCCGAAGCAGGGGCCCCTGAGGCCTGAAAGCCTGCCACAAGTCTAAAGCACCTTCCAGCAGGGACCCATAGAAAAGGGTCAAAAACAGACAAATCTGGAAAGGAAAAGAGCAAAATCAAAATCAAGTTAAAAGTTGCCATTGTTAACCTCCTTGGGGGGTTCTCTCACCCACATCTGTTTCAACCAGTCTACGATCAGAAAAGCACCAGTAAAGCAAGTGCCTGTAAAGCAAGTGCCGTGCCCTCCCTGGTGGCGCAGCAGGTTAGAGCACAGCACTAAGAAGTTAAAGCCACTTCAGCATGAGTTCGATCCCCACCCCGGAGGTGACCCACATGGTGCAGCAGACCTCTCCTGACCCGCACGCTGTTCCCCTCAGCAGTGTACTTCGTCAGCCTGTTCTGCTCCCCACTCTGTCTCTGGTGAATCCTCTCACTGCCCCTGCACCTCTGGCCTGTACCTTAGTTCTATATGAATAAATAAATAAATCTTTACAAAAAAAAAAGCAAGTGCCCCTTCTTCACAAGTCTCTCTGCTTCACGTGCCTCCTTCAAATCTCCCTTTTGCTCTTCCTCCTCCTCCTCCAGTCTCTTCTCCAGCTTCTCCTCCCTATTCAGCCCCACCCTCCCTTGGGTGGGGACCTGGAAACTCTCCTTTTTCTGGGGGCCACCCTATTATAATCAGTGCACATTAATGCTGTCATTCTGTTTTCAAACATGACTTATTAAAAACAGAGGTTTTTAAGGTATCTCCTTAAGGATTTGGAAAAATAGCCAAGACATACTGCTAAGAATAACAAAGCACAAACTCTACAAAATAAGCCTTACCTGCAAATGCATTAAAAAGGTCTGGGAAGAAAACCCCAAAACTCACCAAATTGTTCAGGAAAAGGATAGAATGAGATGCACGCTTCTGTTTTTAATCCATATTTTCTGAATAATTTGAGCTATGGAGTTCATGTGACTTTTGAAACAGTAATTTTTTGAAAATGAGAAAGCCACTGGCCTGTCTTACAGTACTTAAGTCATATTTTGTAACTGGAGACTTGAAATCTCAACTCTCATTGGCACATAAACTGTGATTGTTCTTCAATTTTCTCATTGGTAGAGTTAAGACAGAAAACAATACACTTATGCTAAGTATCCATGTTATGGGGAGGAGTAAAGCCAGATAATAGCGGAAAGTGCTTAGTGAACTGTGAAATCCTGAACAGATGGGAGAGGAATATTGCTTTTATTTGAGGTAAATCTTCTTAGCGCTTTCATTTCTCTACACCAAAACCCATTTCCCACTATGTAGTGTGAATACAAACAAACTCCTTTTTGTGGGCTTCCTGTTGCCCAGCAGTCAGTTAACTTGCTAAAAAAACAAAACAAAACAAAACAAACTGGATAGTATGAACTTCACCTACCTGTGCCACCGATTCATACGAGTCACTTCACTTTATTGGACTCTGTCATCCACCTTGATCTGTGCTCAGAGGGCCTTGGGCCTGGAATCCTGCGTTTCTTAGGTCTGGCATTGAACTAGTAATGGGATTACCTTTTTAACACTCTAAAATGCTAAAAATGAGAAATTAAAGTAAGCATTCAGTAAAAATAATCATCTCCAGAAAATAAACTAATTAGGTATCATTCAGTATTCATAGCTACTTTGTCAATAGCATCTTTTATTGAGGTTTTACTATATGCAAAGTTTGAAATTTTTTTCCACACAGTTGAGTATACATAAATTTCAGCAATAACACACCACATACACAATGGTCCCTATTCTGTCTGTCTGTGTAAATGCACTTGGTGATACCAATGGTGAAGTTTCCTAACAACACAGTCTCAGAATATCTCCCACGTGTTAAGTGACACCAACTAGTAAAGTTCATGAGGCAACCTGTAGTGAAAATTTATTCATTAAAATGGTTTAATACTCTTGAAGGAAGTGCAGGGGCCAAGGAGAGAAGGGAGAAAAAAAATAGTTGTGGTTTTTGAGCTCTATTTTATTTCATTTATTTATGCATACAAGAGCTGTAATGCAGGCAGAGGTACAGGGGTAAGAAGATTCACCAGACATAGAGTTCTGGGGAGCAGAACAGACAGATTGACTGAAAAACACTGCTGAGGGGTACAGTGGATAAGATAGGAAAGGTCTGCTGTACCATGTGGGTCAGTTCCCTGGCCAGTATCTAACTCGTGCTGCAGTGGCTGCTGATAGCTTCACAGTGCTGAGACTTAACCTCTTGCTTTACCAGCGAGGCCCTGTTGAGCTCCATTTTAGCTTGGAGCTTCCTGGCAGTTAAAGCAAAAAGGTCAAAAAGTCAGGCAAGACCACGAAAGTGCTATCAATAAACACCAAAGCAAATCCTAAAAGCCCGCCACAAGACTAAACGTACTTTCTGGCTGGGACCCATTGAAAAGGGTCAGAAATGGCCAGACAAGTCTGGGAGGAAAAGAGCACAATCAAAATCAAGATAAACACTGCCATAGTGAA